CCCCCCCCCCCCCTCCCCCAGCATCGCAACGCCGCTGCAGCTGTGCTCAGCTCATGTCTATTACCGCATTATTTGTAACTAAAGAATAATCTGCAACAGTCCTGTTTATAATTTCGCTGCGATTGCAAGCATACTTTTTAGATAAATCGTTTTCGGAGGGACTGAAATTTCATTTTGCCTCCATTTATCTGGACGAGCTCGATGCCGCTGGTTAGTTTTTTCCCACCTTCAGTTTTTGTCTTTCCGTTATCTTCTGTTTGTTAAAAACTCTGTGTACGTTTTTTAGGCGGTCTGAGTGCGGATCAGGTAACTGAGATGTTGAAACCGTTTGCAGAGCTGCTTGCTGACGGGACGTTATCGTAAGTTTTGTTCTCATTTTTAAAAGGGGTCTTTTTTGGTTCCTCTGGTGAATAGTTTAGAATGAAAGGCATTGGTCTGTTCTTATCGTTTGCATTTCAGGAACTATCTTTTTAATTCATTTCTGCAAGAAATATTTGTCACAATTTTGCATCATTATGCAGAAGCAAGAGCGATGAAAAGCGCGAAAGATCACAGGGTGCTGGAAGAAAGTGCCAGCAGTGTGCCGATCAAGGTTTTTGAACTGTGCGATATGTTTAGATGATGTCTCCTTTCTGTGATTGCTAAAAGTAACCTTTTTCAGTTCAATTATGCGGCCATCAGTCAGTTACTGCTTGAAACCGGGAAAAGCCCAAGTGTAAGAAGTGCTCGTAGAAAACAACTATATGCTGTTGCCAAAAAGTGGTTTTTTGTTATTCAGTTTATCCAGGAAGTTACTATGTGTTGGTTTATCAGTTTGCTGTTTTTTAACAGATTGCTCTCTCTTCCTTCTCTTATCACTGTTCTTTAGATTCAAAGCAGTGGAAGGCGGTGAGGAGCCGTTTGTGATGGCAACAAAAAAGCAAACCAGGTTGAAAGCGAAATTACCCAGAGCTGAAGTCGTTAATGCCGTTACGCGTCTCCTGAATGAACAGGCCAAGGACAAGTCACCCAAAAAGAGGGCAAAACTAAGTGTGAAAAGAAAAACTGTTGTGAGGTTTGAATTACGCCGTGCTCATTTCATCAGTGTTTTCAATTAAAGCCATTGAATTTGCTGCACGGTGGCTTGCTGCTCAGTTGTTTTTTGGAATAAAATGCGGCTTTCTTTGTCTTTCCACTTAATTTCAAATTTAAAGCTCTGCATTTCACAATATTTTACACTCTTTGTCCAGTGGAGAGCAAACCCATGTTTGTTTAGCTCTTTAAAAAATTTACTATTTTGCAGGAAAACACCTAAAAAGGTGGCGGCTGTTAGTGATCGAAAAAAAGAAAGAGCAGGGATCAAACCGTTAAAGCTTCGAAGAACATGCAAAAAATGTAAGTCGAAAGAGAAGCAGGAAGGAAAGTGAAAAGATCGTTCTTTGTCGGAGGGTATTGTCAAGTTTGTTCTTGTGTTGATAAATGGGGTACTGTAATTTTTTTTTCGCGTTATGTGACTAAAGTTTCGACTGATTATGTTGGTGCAGGAATCACTGTGATTGTTGCGTTCCTTATACTATGATTTGAAATAAATACCTGAATTGTGAATTTCACATATGATGTGTTATGAACGGAGCTGTTTATCGAAATTTATTCTGGACCGGCAAGAAACTGAACCACCCCTCTTCACGTCCGGATGCAGGATGTTGTCACTGCACCATCGGTGTTGTGCTCCGGATTCGGCGTGACGGCACATCTACTGTGTATCTGTCTTTCATGGCAATGTGTACCTTCTCTTTTCCCTTCTGGCGGCTTCTCGCGAGTTTCCGGCGACATGACGCGCATACAAGCTGTAAGTGTGCATGTGAAATTAGGGGGGTCTGAAATAGGTGCCCCGATCTCGAAATGGCACAGACCCAGTTAAGTACTCTGCTGTGTTGTTGCTCTCCTATTGTCGACATATCCAGCTGACTGCGTTGTTGTCCGCATTTTCAAATTTAATGTCTGTTGCTCTCCCTGCCACATGTGATTTTCAAGTCTGTAGTTCCTAAGACGAAGGAGCTTTCGTTTGCAGGATTGTTGATTTTTCAACAACACCAAAAAGTGCCTGCCTTTCGAATGGAGGAAACGGCTCTATGCACCAGGTAACTGATGCAGGTGTACTTAGCACAGTCTCAAACCTCGCTGTGGAACCAAGTTTAGAAAATTTCGCTTTCTAGCTTGTGCGGTTCCCGAACTAGGAGGGATTGCAGTTCGAACCTCTGCATGTTGTACGAGAAAAGAAACTAGTTGTGAGAAAGCTAGCTCGGATACGCATACAGCAGAACAACATGTTCAGAAAATTTCAGCCTTCTGGTTCTTTGCTTTTGGACATAAAACGGGGTGGCGGTGGTTTGCGGTTTTAGCTTCCACATACCCGTGTGTGGGGTGGCGTACGCAAAAGTTGATTTCATACTTATAGGGCTTTAATAAACAGAGTTCTTGTTTCTAAACTGTGAAGTTGTTTAAAGAGATAGAAACATTAAAAAACTTTAATTTAAACTTTAATTCTCCGAGCAACAATCCGTGGTCCTCTAAAGTTTTAGCTTGATTAAAACGATGTTCTTTTATTTACAAATCTGCGCGTTTTGCACCCCAAGAAATTGTTCCTGAAATGTGGGATTCTTCAAACCTAGCTCTCCTTTCCATTATGTAGGGATAAATTACTCCTTGTTACTTTTCGCTACTTTTGTTTTAGAAGTACAGGAGAGTTGTTCTGGACTCAAACTGACACCTTAGTGTGATTCCGACATTGGAGTTCATCGCCCTGTTTCAGACAGGTGAGAGGGCAGATACCAGTTTTCCTTGCTCGTTACTTGGGATTGGAAGGAGAAGGGTTTCCACCATTTTTGCGGCTTCTTATGAATAAATAATAAGCTTCGGGAGGAATCTGAAAAGCGGAACTGCCATTACAATTATAGTTATTGATGACAGCAGCATTTCTGGGCTACTGCATGCACCGTCCCTTCGCAAAAATTAATGCTTCGTTTAGTCATCGCCCTGTTTCAGACAGGTGAGAGGGCAGATACCAGTTTTTAAATCGTGCCTAACCTTATTACTTCAGCAGTGCTTTATCTTTTTAAACAAATTTAAGATGTATTCCCTGGGAAAGAGAACGGTCATCATGTTCTGGTAATACCGGCGCCGCCGGACGGCCTATCATTTTATGGGAAGCTCAAGCAAGCACTGAAACAGGCAAATGCCTGTAATATCAATCATGTTGCCTGGACCGTAGCGGAGGAGCGCAGAAACAAAATAATTGGTGACGCGCACCGGGGGATGGGGGAGGGGGAGGGCCGAGCGATCATGCGTTTTTGCAGTATTTCGTGCTGTAATGAGATCGCTCGAAAACCTAGTAGCTAGGATTTGCGACATACTGGTCCTCGAAGTTCAGGAAGTTACTTGGACAGGGAACAATCCGCTAAAATTTCAGCTTTCCAACTTCTCCCGTTCTAGAGTTAGCAATTTTCCTGCCAAAAAATTTCATGGGTTCGTACATGAGAACCACACGTATCTGGGAGCTGAATTTGATATCTTTAACTTTTACGGGACCTGGGAACACACCCTTAAAATTTCAGCTCCCAGCTTTCCTATTTCCCGAGTTAGCCATTTTTCCGTCAAAAAATTTTACGGGTCCGTACGAGAGAACCACGAATGCCTGAAAACTTAACCTGATAAATTCTTGTTGTACATGAGCTAGGAACATTCCCTGAAAATTTCAGCCTCCTAGCTTTCCTGGCTCCCGAGTTAGTCATTTTCCCACCAAAAAATTTCACGGGGCTGTGCGTGATAATCACGTATGCCTGGGGGCTGAATTCGATGACACCAAGTTGTACATGTGCTGAGAACATTCCCTGAAAATTTCAGCCTCCCAACTTTCCTGGTTCCCAAGTTAGTGATTTTCGCGCCAGGAACTTTCACGGGGCTACACGCGAGTACCACGCACACCTGGGGGTTGAATTTGAAATCTTTGAGTTCCATATGCACTGGGAAC